ACTATCCTTTTTAAAATAAAATTTAAAGTATTTAACGTATTTTTCAATATTATTTTTAAATAATAAAAAAATATATTTAATAATCATCTTTTTTGGAAAATTCTAAAAAAATTACGGTCCCATATATGAAAATATCGCATATGCATTGTTTTATTTTTGATCAAAAATAATTAATCCCCTTAACACCTCATTCAACTAAGGGTACTTTGCATTCATAGATAGCACGAATTAGTGGAAATTTATACAAAATATGCTCTATTTTTGTGTATTTTTGTATACGTCACCGCGAATTCGCGTTAATTATGAACGCAATGTAAGCTAAAAATCGGAGAAGCCGGCGCAAAAAGCTCTAGCCTGACCGTGAAAGATTTTCTGACTGTGTCGTGCCGGACAAATTGCTCAAAATAATTTTAGTGGTTGACCCATAGTTTTAAAAATGTTTTTTAATACAAGCCAACTTGTATACAAAATGTATTTTAAGCTTCAGGTAAAAATAATTAAAGGCTGGGTCGAGTTAGATGAAAAACATATTTCCACGGGTCAATTCGGACTGGGTCTTGCCAATCTCTATCTTAAGCTGCGTCTTTCTTTTTTCCCCTCTGAATTCTGAATAGTCGAAATAGAATGCAATTTTTAGACTAAAAAAAAATAATACATAGCAAATTTTGATACACTTATAACCTTAAGTCCAATATATATTTAAAAAAATCAAAAATAAGATTGTCTTATCTACTTTTCTAGATGAAATGTTTATTCAGAAATAAAAATAAAAATTAGGATACGTTTAATTAAAAAAAATAGTCCAAGGCTCGATATAACCCCGGTCTCTCCTAAACATGAGTTGGAAAACTTTACATTTTGTAAAATTATACAATTTTAAGAAAAAAAAATCTAAAAATAAAATATTTTATTTTTTTATATGCTTGCTAATTGATAAACAATAGAATTAATTTTTAAAGTACACACCTAAATTATTTCCAATAGAACAAAGCGTATAAATTGCTCTAATTCTACTCAATTACAAAAATAAAAAAATACAATAATATTCTTTGAGTTTAATTATACTTATTTTATTATAGAAGGGATAACGAAAAAAAAAAAACTTTATATCCTCTATAAAAATTATTTTACCATTTTAACTTGTTAATGCAAATTCAAGTTTCGTTTATTATTATTTATAATACTATAACCTCTTATTCATAATGTAAAAGTAAATATATTATATTCAAATAATTTTCTACTAAAACAAAAATGAATTGTAGCATAATTCAAAATATTATTTGTGTGTTATGTAAAAATTTCAAGTCTCTTACCCTCCCCTTGTTTATTTTTTTTTTAAAAAAAAATTGTTATATTGGAGACATTTCAAATTTAAATTTAAACAATTCAGAGTCTTATAAAATTATATACTATTATTTTTCTTCAATTTTTAAAATTAGATTATCTCATGTTTTTATCAACAAATATGGTATAAAGAAAAATACGAGAGTGATGGTCATTTTACCAAGAACTCCTCTTTGGCACATCACTATATTGTCTTTACTAAAAATAGGTTATTTTTTGAGTTTAATTAATCTTCCTTTTTTTTAAATTGACAATAAATAACACTTTATATGATAGATAGACATCTTTCTTTCTTTCTTTCTTTCTTTCTTTCTTTCTTTCTTTCTTTCTTTCTTTCTTTCTTTCTTTCTTTCTTTCTTTCTTTCTTTCTTTCTTTCTTTCTTTCTTTCTTTCTTTCTTTCTTTCTTTCTTTCTTTCTTTCTTTCTTTCTTTCTTTCTTTCTTTCTTTCTTTCTTTCTTTCTTTCTTTCTTTCTTTCTTTCTTTCTTTCTTTCTTTCTTTCTTTCTTTCTTTCTTTCTTTCTTTCAACATATTTATTAGTTTTTTTTAAAAAAAAAGAGTCATTAATTTAAAAGATGATTTTACTTCTATAGTTGTGTTAGGAAGGATTAAAATGATTACCACAATATTTGATGTTTCTATTAAAACTTTACAAAATAAAGGCGCGGTAATTGTTCCGGGACTATGCGATTATACCCAAGAAGATTTAAAGTATTTTTTAAAAATTTCCAAGGTACAAATCATGATAACGTATAATCGCGTTGATGACATAATGGAAAAGGTATATATATAAATAAAATAATAATTCTACGAGATATCATTGTTGAATTCTCAACCTTCCACATATCATTTATTTTGGGCACTTTAAAGGTCTTTCAAAATTTTTTGCAAAATGGCTGGTGGCGGGTTAGGCTTATATTTGGGAGGATGATTTATTGTATATATATATTTTTACATTTCGATTATATAATATAAATATATATTTTTTTGTTTGTTTTGAAGATAAAAATGGCCGATATTAAAGATGTACAACTATGCGAACACGTTATCGATGTTAAAAATTTGGAAAAGTAAAATATAAGATTTATTCTAAGAAAAGCTTAAAGCGGCCATCTTAATTGTAGCGTTTAAAGGCTTGAGCCGTTACACTTTTTAATAATAACATTCAATTGCTAATTAACACAATAGAGTGGCTACACCACTCTCCGTAAAACATTTAATCGAATCGGAAATACTTTTTTCATAACGATTATAATGCAAAAATTTTATAAGCTATGAATCCATTTGAAATCTCTTATATTTTAGGGGAAGATAGTGGAAGTTTTGTAAACTTTTTAAATATTCCTATAACTTTATTATTTGATAAGTAAACATAATTCTCTATTGCATGTCACAAATTAACTCCTTAGTTTGTGTGTCCCCCTTTTTAAGAGTTCTGTTTTATAATTTTAAATTAGAATTCGCAACCATTTCTTGGAATGGGGGTTCACTCTATTATTATATTGTTTAAAATAAATAATTAGTTTTTGTTCATAATATACACTCATTCATTCAATTTTATAGTTTCGTGTAAATTTACAGAAAAAAAATTTTTAAAAAATATATTTATAAATCAGTGTTCTTTCTTTTTGATTTACAAATTTATTTATTTTGTATCGTGCGTGACAAGATATACCGCTCTTAAAAGTAACGAATCGTGGGAACAATCCGATTTAGATACTTCCGTAAGTTTCACCTTTTTATATCACAATCACGCGAAAAGATTATAAATTTTATATTTAAAATATAATATAATAGCTCCCAGCTTTATAACGAAGTTGAAAAAATTATTATGATTCATAGTGAATCATAATTTTAAATATATTTTATAATCTATTTAAGTTTCTTTAATCGAATATTAAAATTAAATTTTATAAAAAACCTGAACTTTTTGATATTTTTTATTTTATAGAATAAAAGAGAAAGTGGGATTGATTCTCATCATTGATGAAGGAAGGAACATATAAGAGAATGGTCATTAGCCGAAAAATTATAAAATAACTTTTTTGGGATATATTTCGTAATTGTAAATTAGTGAGTCACCCCAGAGTTGGGATCGAAAGACTAACTTTTTTTTTATCAACGAGCATGGGCCGGATAACGTGCTTAAAAGATTTTGATTTTGCAAACTATGAGAATTATAAATACATACTTACTAAATAAAATTTTTGAGGGTTTAAATCAGAGTTCTGGTAGGAATCTTCTCCTAATTTAAACCCAAATTTTTTTAGGATTTAGGTCTATGAAAACCCAGGTCCAGATCGGGTTAAGAGGGAAATTTTTTTTTTCATCTTTTGGATTTCTTAAACTTATTATTTCTTAACACAAATTTCTCTTCTCTTCTCTTCTCTTCTCTTCTCTTCTCTTCTCTCTCTTCTCTCTCTTCTCTTCTTCTCTTCTTCTCTTCTCTTCTCTTCTCTTCTCTTCTTCTCTTCTCTTCTCTTCTTCTCTTCTCTTCTCTTCTCTTCTTCTTCTCTTCTCTTCTCTTCTCTTCTTCTTCTTCTTCTTCTCTTCTTCTTCTTCTTCTTCTTCTTCTTCTTCTTCTTCTTCTCTTCTCTTCTTCTTCTCTTCTTCTTCTTCTTCTTCTTCTTCTCTTCTCTTCTTCTTCTTCTTCTTCTCTTCTCTTCTTCTTCTTCTCTTCTCTTCTTCTCTTCTTCTTCTCTTCTTCTTCTTCTCTTCTCTTCTCTTCTTCTTCTCTTCTTCTTCTTCTTCTTCTCTTCTTCTCTTCTTCTCTCTTCTCTTCTCTTCTCTCTTCTTCTTCTTCTTCTCTTCTCTTCTTCTCTTATCATTCATGTCAAAACATTTCGATTTCCTATATTCAATTTTTAAAAAAAACAAACTATTTAAAATAATTTAGTGTGAAAATATGGTTTCCACAGATATATCAGTAGGCTTTTTCACGAGCGGCACTAGTGGCCGACAAAAATTAACGTTACATACTATTAAAAGTGTCCCATGGGCCTGGGCTTATGACATTAAGTTAATTTTAATTTTTTTAAGAAAAATATATACAATATTTTTTGTTAGCATTTTCTATATCTATGCCTAAAGCTGGGGTCTTTTGGCATTAAGTTACATTCGAGTTTTTAGAAAAACTTACTAAATTGTCGCTCTTTCAATATCTTCCTAAGATCTATCATATATAACAACAAAAACTTTGGTCATAATAAAGCTCTTTATTTGGCGTGTTTGATATAATTCAAGATTTATAAATTAAAATAATTTTGATATAAAAATTTCAAATATCATTCTTTATATTTGTAATAAGGCTTACTATAATATATTATCTGGATTAATTCTCCGTAGCTTAATCATAGGTGGGGTATTAGTAATGTTCTATATACATCATTTTTGCTGTTTTTTTTGATAAATCAACTCTATATATCCACAATAAAAATATTAAAATATAATTAGAATAAGCCTTTATTTTGCAAATGCAAGATAAATGGATCTGCTATTAATTTTTTTTTTCCAAAAATTAATATAATGATTAGTTATTGGCATGACATTAAAAACGATGATGTATATTGGCAGCTTACCACGCTGGGATGGCCTAAGTCATTCAGTTCAAATTTACTATGGCCCTTATCAAAAGGCGCTTGCATTTTCTGCCACGAGATGACAAACTTTTATGATTTCTTGAAAATAATTAAAGTAAATCAAAAATAAATTTATATAAGACAGGAAAGGAGATAATGGACAAATTATTATATTCAATATAAATTAACCGTTTGAGATTAAAATGTTAATAATTTGAATCAAAATTTAGAAGATTTGAGTGACATGATTAAATAAAATAGTAAATGAAAAAAATACGAAAAATGGATAATAAATTTTTTTTTTGATAAATATAGATCGTGGTAACCTATCCAATTACTATAACTTGTTTTGTGCCAGCCCTTTGGTCTGGAATCCTCAAGAATTTTAAAGAAGTCAGAAGGATTGCTAAGAGCAAATTAAAAACTTGTTTATGCGCGGGAGAATATCTAGTAAGAAATAATGTTAAATATACTAAGGATGTATAAAAAACCAATATCAAAAAAAGTAACAAAATACTTATTTTAAACATTTTGATATATTCAAATAAACTCATTTTAATAAAATGAGCAAGTTAAAACATAATTGTGATCGTGAAAAATTGCTAGCAAGTCGGAGATTAATATACTTAATTTAAATAATTGTGATATCGAAAAAATTTGCTGTAACAATTATAATTTATTATAAGAATTTTAGTACCAACAAAAAAAATAATATTAAAAAGAGATCGAAAAAACAGGGTTTTTTTTCATCCACCGTATATTAAATTGTTAAAATTCAAGATTATATTGCTAAGGATTTTATATAATTTTTCTTAAGATTTTGTAATAATTAAACCAAGTATCATTACTATAATAATTTCTTTCCTTAGTATATTTTTACCATCTCATTTCCCGCGAGCCCTCAGAGTTTGAAGTGGCTCAGCACTAAAAAAGATTTTGGTTGTGCAAAATATATTTTTTAAAGATAAATAAATAATTAAAGCTTAGAATTAAGAAAATTTACGACTTTCTCCTTCAAAATTGTTAAGTATTACCTGAACTTCTAATTAACTTTCTTGTGTTTTTATTTTCTTCTTCTTTCAATGATTAAATATAAATAATCTTAAAATTTCATAATTAATTAGAACAATGACGTCTTCTATTCGTGGAAACAAATGACAGGTTTAGACATTAAAGCCGGATACGGGCAAACTGAATTAGTAAAAAAAAAATTCATTTTATTCGAATACACATTTTATAAAACATAATTTCAAAAGGGATTAACTATAGCTCAACAAGACAATGTTGTTTTAACTCCTGGTTCCATAGGCAAACCTCTCCCCGGCTATGCATTCGAGGTCATTTATTTATTGTTTATTTTAGAGGTGTACTTTGAATTTGGGATTTGTAGTTCAGGAATTTAAGATTGTTTGGTTGGGCATTTTAAAACCACAGACCGAACAGGGACCGATTTAAGGACAACTCATTAAACCAGGTGTAATATAGACTTAGGGAAGGTTCGGACTCCTCTTAAGTTCCTGTTATCAAAATTTCCACCAAATGGAATTTAAAATTCCAGAACCCGGGTTTGGGTTCACCACATCCCTGCTTTGAATATAACTATTATATTTAATTAAATTGAAAAATTGAAAAAAAAAACAGTTATCTTACGCTTGGTCAGTTATTTAGGCCAAAATTAAAAATCCATTTATACATTGAATATTGAGATTCGTTTTAAATACAATTATATATTTTTTTAAATTATTTCATTTATTTAAAAAAAAAATACATTTATAGAATAAATATTATTGTAGTATGTCTTTTCTTTCTATAAATGCCGATGAAGGTATTTTTCAGAGTTTGACCAAATGCCTTTCTATATTATTGTTCAACTTCAAATCATATAAAACATAAAAGTATGATGTTTAGGTTCCATCATATTGTCTATTAAATAAAAAAAAATGAGCCGCTTAGTCAGCCATTTTGAGTGCCCTTGGGGAAATATTAAATTGGCCGGGACTTAGAAAAAAGCATTTATCAAAAATTTTACGATTTAGCACGATGGTTGAGGCGAAATTAAATTAATAAGATTTTAAGATTCGCAGGCCTAGACTTGTACCGTGGAAAAAATAACGTTCCAATAATAGATTTGCTTCGATTCAAGATTATTTAAATAAGCATCTTTATACCACTTTTAAATATATTCTTGATCCTAATCAATTAATCAATATTTAAAAGTAATCAATAAATCAATTTTTAGATATTGGATGACAATCATAACGTATTAAAGGCCAACGAAATAGGAAGTCTAGCTTTAGCATTGAAAAAAGGATATAGTAATCAGCTGTTCAAGGAGTACATGGTACTATTTTTTAATGTATAATTTTCCAAAATACGAACACCTTGAATAAATAATTTTCGATTAAAAAAATAATCATTAAGGAAAAATTAGCCGAAAATATTATCCTATAATCTTATAAATTTGATATTTTAAATTTAAAGGCATATTTGAGTACTAAATTATAGATATAGAAGAGCGCTGAGAATCGACATTTGTTTATAAGTTGGCTAACATTACGTTTATTACTTTTATTTTTATAATCATTTAATTTATTTTATTATTAAATTTATAGCCTATACTTTCTTTGTTTATATGATTATTAACGGGTAATAATCATTTTTTGATTCCTATATAAATAAAAAAACTTTAAAGGATGATGAGGAAAGAACTAATTCCGTTTTCGTAGGAGATTATTATATGACAGGAGATCTAGCGAAAATAGATGAAAAGGGTTACGTATGGTATTGCGGTCGTAACGATGATATGATTAACAGAGGGTTAGAGCTTTAAACACTATCTAATAATATAGAAGAAACAGTCAAAAAGTGATAAAAGTTTAATAAAACTAATTCTATAGCTCTATCTCCTAACATCACTTTTTTTAAAAATAAAAATTATATAGAATCCGTATAGGGCCCATGGATATAGAAAGTATGCTGGAAAAACATCCGTTAGTTAGCGAGTGCGCGGTCATAGGAAAATTTTCGCCCGACCAAAATCAAGAAGTAACATTATTTAAAGGGGAAAAAAATGGGCAATTAGGTAGATTTTAAGCCGTATTATCTTTTTAAATTTTTTTAATGGACTATTTTTCTTTATATAACTTAAACTAAGTAAGGTTTAAAGCCTAGACTAGGGCTAAACACGGGCTAATTTTTCGTAGATTTGGCTTACAATCTATTTAATTACCAAAATATTTATGATTGATTTATCGGTCCCACAAAAAAAATATTTCGAAAATCGATAATGTCAATTACTTTGTACCTTATTTATTTTTTTAAAAAACTTTATTTAACAATTATCGGTAAAATAATAAATTAATATATCAATATTTTAATAATAAATTCACGCTTATTTCTATATTTATGATTTATTTTTTAAAAAATATATGATTCCATTCAATAGATCATAAAAGCTTTCATTAAATTGAAAGAGAATCAATACAGAGATTTTCAAGACATTTACGACGAGTTGAGAAGCTTTTCGAGCAGTTCAACATCCACTATTTTTTGTCCCCAAGAGGTAAATAATAAATATATAATCGGGTCATGAAAGAATAATTATTGTCGTCGTAAACCTAGATTTAACCATTTACCAAAATATACGTTAGCAAAAAAATAACCTAAACCTCGAGATTTGGCCAAAAGAAGGAAAACCCTTTCTGCCATTTATAGGCGAAATCTCGCGAGGCTTAGGTTAATATTTATTTTTTTTGGCTAAAATCGGGAATTGAGGTCTTAGTCAATATACTAAATATAATAACTCGTTTACTAAGAAAAATTCAAAAGCGAGAAATAAATGCTACAAACCTGCTATCTTGTATTTTTTAACCACAGGCGATTGTCAACTTTGGCATACCTAGGGACAAATCGAACCTGAACCGCTACAACAATTTAATCACTTGAAAAAAAACCTTTAAAAAGGTTTGCATGGTTTGTCTTTTTGGTGTCTTAACTCTTTTACGGATCAATAAATTTTGATAGATAAGTATCAGTAACTATTTTTCTATTATAGTTATTTGTCCAGATAACCACGTTAGCTAAATTAAAGTTTTCTTAACCATTCGAAACATCGGGTATTCGTTATGCACAGTTTGGAAATCCTAATAACATGCTAAATTATACAAAAAAAAAATTAAGTCAAATTTTGATTAAAAAAATAGAAGGATCATTAGGAACCAGATACCGTAGAGAAAAAATAAAGAGTTTTGGGACCAAAAATTAAAAGGGCTATCATTTTACTATATAATTGACAGTGACTCTCAAATAAGAATTTCTATAAAATATTATTCAAGTCGTGGAAAAAGAAAATGCACTAAGTTAAGAAACTTTATATATATGATAACCACGTATTTATATAATTAACTTTTTTTTCTTCTTACTTTCAATAAAACTTCGACCCATTTTGCCCATTCCAGCATTCTCATTTATAATGCAGAATAAAAATTTTTAAAAAATAAGTTATTTTTACACTTTTTATTTATGAAATGGCAATTTTTTGCAATATTATTCAAATTTAAAAATGGATTGCGAAATTTACATTGACTAGTGAAGGACATTATTGTTCAAACATAATTATTTAATTTATTCTTCATGTTAATTTTTTTAGACTTATTAATATCATCATAAAGAAAAAAAGTTATATTTTTAAGAAATAAAAAGCTAAAATATTGATAAAATATCATAAGGAAATTAAAAATTGTTGGCTTTTTTCTTTCTAGAAAAAAAAAATATATATAAAAAGAATTGCAAAATAAAATTAAAGTCTAATTTAAAATTGAGGTCCTGGTCGGGCCTGGAAAATAAAAATCTTAAATCAATTTACGGCCTAGCCGAGTCCGAGAATATCTGCCTGAGTTTGACCGAACCGGGTTCGATCTGACAAGTCCGATACGATTTATAGTATAAAATCAAAAAATCACAAACTCAGACCAGTCCGATAATTGATTAGGGAACATTGCAATAAATTAGTTAGGTTATAAATCATATAATAATGGACCATTTTAAACATTCATTTACTTCCCATATAATCGATTTCCTTTTCAAACTACGTTACACAAAATACAGTCGAAATTATTTATAGAATGACCAAATTTTAAAATCTCGGGCAGGCCATGCTGGAAAATTCCCGATTAAAATTTTAACTAAAATAATATATTTATCGAGATTTGATAAATAGTTGTCCAAGCATTTCTGCCAGCTATAAGTAAATCTTTAGAATTACAGAATGTTAATTTTAGTCATAATCTTAATCGGGTCATTTTTCAAAATCGACCCGAAGCGGGCTTTTTAATAACACTATCTCCTCGGCTATCATTTATATTATTGAATTAAAGACTAAAAACTTAAATCAGAACATTTTATTTATTTTTTAGATTTTATCTCAATAATTTATTATTAAAATGCAAGATCCACGCGATTGAAATTAATGATTTTTTTTAAAAAATAAATCATAATTAAAATAAATTCTGCATTTTGTTTTAAATTTAAATTATTTTAGTTTTTTTTAAATTATTATATCTCATTTATTTTGCATAATTAAATTTAGCAATTAATTTGGACTTACAACTTCGAAGTATCGAAAATATATAATTTTTTTTATTTTAAATTATATATATATATTTTTAACGCTTTAATTACATTTATTTTTAATATTGTTACTTTATAATTATCTTATTTGAAACAAATAAATGTTAGGAGAGACTGGGGTAAAACGATTTCTATTTTGCTATTTTTACCATTAAAATTTAAAATAAAAACAAAAAGAACAAATTATAGCATGTCCATTTCATCACCTATAAATTAAAAAGAAGTAAAGCCGTCTAACTAAAATACTTTAGGAGTTATGATGAATAATTATGAGGTTTACCATTTTACCCCATAGTAAGGGTAAAATAGCTAAGAACAACCTAAATTTTTTGTTTTATTTAGAGATGTCTGACACTTTTTTTTGGGGCCGATCCAATATTACATTGATATCAGCAATTACCTGTTTTTCATTTTCATACATTGTAATTTTCAAAATAAATTTTTCCATTTATAGTTTACCACATCTTATACAATAAAGATACAAGTCATTTAAAATATACTACTATAAAATTTAAATACCTATTATTTTAGACTTATTTATTTAATTATCAATGTAAAAATATTGGGAAATCATTTATTTAAGAATAAAATCATCAAAAATCTTTCTATCATTTAAAAAGTAACATACCAACTAGTCTATTCATGATCAATGAATTGTTACAATTTTTTTAAAAAAATTATTCATTTAGTTATAAAATCATAAACATTTAAGAATATTCTTAACTTATAAATATATTTTCTTAAATATCAATGTTGTAAAATTAGATTATGACGCCATTTTATTGAATCGGAAAACTTAATATCGGCCGATAACCAATATTTTTTTAAAAAAATAATCGACCCCGATCTGATAAAAAATATAGGCGCATCTCTACTTTTATTGAACAGGTATATTAGTAATGTTAACATTTATTTATTTATAAATTAATCAAATACAATGGAGATTAAAAAGAAATTATTAAAATTAGCCATTTTGTGTGCCCATTTTAGGCACATCTCTTCAACAATCAAATTTAAGATCTGGATTCAAAATAACATTATTACCTTAGTGTTCCCTATAATTTATTCTTATGTATTTGTATCAATTTTGATGAAATAATGTATTCTATGTAAATTGTGTTTTATTTGGTTTAGAAAATTTTTGCAACAGTGATCTAAGAAAAGTTGTTATACCACTGTATCGCCTGATATTTTCAATTTTTAAATACCCAGAATAATAATTAAATCTTATAATAAAAATTACTTTTAACTAATCATCATAAAACCAACATTAAAGAGAGCATTGTCAATTTTTTTTCTTCCTATTTCTTACTTTATTTTTTTCAAATGAAATTAGCTTTATTATTAAGAATAAACATTACAAACATGAAAATAAATTTGTAATCTATCATTAAAATTCAAAGGCATTATTAATTATAATTAAAATAATCCAAAAAAAATCATTGAAAAAGTGAAGACTGGGAAAGATATTATATTTGTTTCTTTCAAATAAACTCTTGAATTTATATTACATTTAAAAAAAAAACCTTGATTCAATATCCTTAAAAGTAATATAAATACATCGCGGAAAATCGTTAATAATGATGTGACAATAAAATAATGGCCTTAGATTATTAGTAGTGGTCTTAAATGGCTGGCCTAATATTATAACCAACAAATATTACGCAAGCCTGAAGATTTACTCAAATATTACAGAGAAGTTTGGATATCATGTTCGAGGCTTGCATAATATTATTTAGCTAAAATCTTAATTTAAAATTGGCTATCGAGCCATCTAACAACACTGTAAAGTACATAAGATAAGAATGAAGGTTTTTCACAAAAATCAAAAACCTTATTTTTCAATTCTTAATAGATAGAATCCTTATATTAGATACCAAAATTTTACTCATTTTATCATAATTTTAATAAAATAAATTTAGGAATACATCAACAGATTTTCAAAATTTTCTATTATTATAAGATAAAGTGATGCATTAAGTGTTTTTTTCCATTAAATTATGTTAGTGATTAGGTTAAAGTGAGGGCTATTACCTGATTACATGTATTTTTTTCTCATTTTTTGCATCCCTAGCATATTGATCAAGATAAATAATCATAATAAAATTTATTAATCTAATAATATAATAATTTTTTTTCATTACAGGTGACTTATTTTATATATCAAATTATAAAAAAAACATATATTAATAATCAAAAAACATAAAAAATAAAATTTGTTTACACATAAAAATATTTACATGTTTCTAAAAATAATACTTTTCAAATAATGTATTCAAATTTAATGTTTGGTGGAAATATAATTTTTAAAAATCTACTTCCAGTTTTTTGAACAATAAAAAAAATCTATTTTGAGAATTATAATAATACAATTTAATAATTATATAAATATAGATGGAAATAATATCAGATATACCAAGAAGTTCATCAGGCAAGATACAACGGTCAAAATTAAGGGAATATGAAAGACACCAATCCATATATTAATAAATTTTGCAATATTATATTGATTTATATCTTTTATTGATAATAATATAGAAAATTAACAAAGTATATCATCAATTGTTTGAGGTGACTTTTGATTAATAAAATTGTCTTCAAATCCATTTAGGTTAATTGTATTTGCATTGAATTTTGAATGATTTATATATCCATTATAATGACCTTATATTTTATAATGTAGATAATTACAAAAATAAAACATTAACTTACATTTGGGTATGATTATACTCTTTAATCGTGAGGAATTGTGTGGTAAAACATTTAATGGAGTTATTTCAATATTCTACATTGATAATATAAATTTAAAAAATAATTTAAAAAGCACCTCTAGATTTAAATTATTTTTTTGTTTGATCATTCCATTTATATATGTAGGTGGCTTTTCAGTAGAAGTGGTGAAAGAGAGTGGAACATGTGTTAATATGTTTTTTGTTGTGCTATTTTCTGTATTGCAGTTTCTTTTGATTTTTTCAGCTTCATAATCTTCATTTGCTATTGAAAATGATTGTACAACTGATTTAGTAAGTGCAATGGCCTATAAAGATAATAGAAGACATCAAAAATAGTCTTTTACTAATTTCTTTTTATCACATAGAAATGCATGGCACTCTAATGTTTCATTTATTGAATTTCTAAAAATAAATGCAAATACTTTTTCTAAATTACTTATAGCTACACAGGATGCTATTCTATAACTTAATAAAATTTATGTAGAAATTTATATAGATAACCTATATATACAAAATTCTTGATGAGGTTCTTTAGTTTCAAAATTAATTGTTCTAATACCCTTAGGTGTCACAAAAAGTATCAATCTTGACTTCCTAGATTGTAGTTTGGCCTATTTTAAAATAGATTAGATTTGATAATAATAATAATAACCATTCTTAAAATTCTTTTAACGACTTTTGCAGAATCTTCATGTTCATTATAATCTATCAAAGTGTTTCCCAAATAAAGGGCATTAAATGCTACACCATCTTTTATAGGTTCTTTGTATTCGCCTAAATCATCAGGTAGTTCTAAATAACGCAGATAATGTTTATATGGCATAAATAATTTACTTTTATGTCTATGATCTCTAATAAAATTTAAAGTTTTAAAAAAGTTTGACATACCGTTTTATACTTTACAATATTCAAATCTATTTTTAACATTTTATTCAACGAAAAAAACATTTCACATTCTTACATTAAAAAAATATCATTTAAATAAATATTTCATAAATTAAACTTTCAAATTTTTTATAATATCAATAAGACAATCCCTTTCATTCTCAAAGGTTTGGATATAGAAATAAAACTTATCATATAAATAATTACGATCTCTCTCGGATATCTGCGATTGTAACCAAAGTTTAAAATTACTATTACCATAAAGGTTTTTATAATATTTTAATACATTTATGATATTTAAGAATTCCTCATTATTTAAGCTAGAAATGGGATTAACGAGAAAATTATTTGTTCCAAATCCTGAGTTGTATGGGACCCCGCAAAATGAACAAGCTGAAGAAAGGAATTCATTTTGTCTGGAACTAATGGTTTCTAATCCTATGTTGTACGGGACCCCACAAAAAGCACAGACTGAGGAGACGAGTTCATTTTGTCTGAATTTATAAGTATGTAAGTGCTCAGTATTTTTGGTATTAAGGTTAACAGATTCTTTGGCCTTAAGGTTAACAGACTCTTTTTGTTTTTCGAGCAAATGTTTTATCCTATCTTCCATTGTTTCAATGTTTTTTTTATATTCTGAAACAACGTTCAAATTGTTATTTTTTAATTCTTCCAATTCTTTATTTAATTTTATTTTTTCAATTGTATATTCTTGGTATTTAATATCCATTCCTTTTCTATGTTCATTATTTTTTGCATTTAGATCGTTGATCAAAGACTTTTTTTTCTGCATTTCCCAATTGAATTTATCAATTTCTAATTGATTTCTGCAAAATAAAATATCACAAATTTATATCTATAAAAGTGTATAAGCTAAATTCATAGTGAACGCGATACGAGGCGATTTAACAGCTGATGGTTATAAAATCCTTCAATCCGATATATATATTTTTATAATTGTGAATTTTTACCATGAGAATAACGAAGGGAGCAGTAAAATTATTTAAAGGGATATACTTAATATTAATTATATCTTTTATTCCAATCAAGATAATAAAATAAAATGATTTTAATAAATAAATGATGATCTATCAATCACATTGTGTCATGATCTCTTAGCAATTCACTTAAATATTATTTATTTGCAACTTCAACTCATATCAAAATTTAAGAATAAAATATTAATAAAGAAAAATTGATCTCATCTATGAACTAACGTCACATTACTCTTAAAATTGGGCTCTACATAATAAATGCAAAAATAGCCTACATCACTTTCCATAACAATATAAATTAGTTCATCATGAGAGTGATAATACACAACTTTCCCGATTACCATAAATGTGACTAATAGCCAACTTTAAGGTAATCACGAGAGCACATAGTTTCAAAACGAATTTTAGATACAAAACCAAGCAAATTCTTTGTAATGAGTGATGTCTATTTTAAGTCTCCTACATTATATATTTCCTGAGTGATGATCACCTCATCGCGTCTACTATGGATTCAGTTAAAAAAATATAGGCGACATGATGTCACGCTTTAATTGTGAATGCATGATAACTCTTTAAAAATTATATTTATACATTAAAAAATATGATTTTTACTCTTTGAGCTTCTCTTCTAAATTTTTTATTGACTTTTCTAATCTTGATATAATTTCATCTTTTTGTTTTATAGTAAATTCCAATTCACGAATATTTTCTTCCAATCCTATCATTTTTGAAACCATTTGAGATTCCCTTTGAGGAGACAATTGTTCTCTATTATAAGCCATATGAGATTTATTAATTTCCCAATTAGGTATAGCAATAGAAGAAGATCGTCCAGGTATTTCATTTAACCAACTGTATTTACTTTTATCCTTAACTACAGAATTTTCTTTCTTTGAATGAATATCTATATCCTTTGAAATTCCTTGCTTAATTGATATGCTAGAAAACTGCTTTGGTGTTTTTTTTCTTTCATTTATCAATTCTAACGAGGACGTTGTCTTTACTTTATTAGTCAATGCAGATGATGCTTTTTTCAATTTTGGTACACCTCTTTCCTTTTCCAAATTTTCACGATATTGCGATTTAGTTAGGACTTCTAGTTTATCTTTAGTGCCACGTTTCGATTCTTTGTCACGGATTACAAATGATACTTCATCGTCATCATCTCGAACTCCACCTTTATTTAATATGGAGAGAATTTCATTCACTTTATTTTTCATTATGATTGGGATATTTTCCTCCCTATCTAATCTATCTTCAAAATCGTGGGATTGGGGAGAATGTTTATGCATTATTCTGTTATTGCTTTCTTTGTGAATAAATGTTTTTTCCTCGTTATCCCAAGTGCCTCGTAATGAATCTTTTTCAAAGCTTATAAGCTCTCTTTCAGCTTCCTCTATTATCTTTTTAAAGCATATGCCACATGGTGGATCTACCTCCTTAGATCCTTTTGACCTTGCCACTGCAACATCATATAAAGCATTTTGAAATGGAGATAGAGGCCTATCTATTGGCGATATTAAATTCATTATAAAGTAATTGTGTTTTTTAATATATTTTTTTGTTTTAAATGATAATTATAACTATTTAGTTGGGTAAATTTGCTAGTTGCAATTTATTTTATTAAGTTTTAAATCTATAAAATACGTAGTAAGGTTATACTGCTTTCGTATGCTAAAAAAATAAATGCTTGTTACTAGATTTGAATATATTTTTTAAATTATTATTTTCACGATTTTATGCTTGATGTATAACATTTAAATTTATATAAAATAAAGTAACAAAAACTAAAATAGCAAAACTTTAATAAAATTATATATATGTCACTATAATATTATAATGGGTCTGTAATAATATGTGAATTTAATAGAGCTTTAATCAAACATTTAATTGATTGAGGATTTGTTTTGTAAATTTCACAAAATATTGAAATTAAGGTGAGTGAATCAAACCAGTTTGAAGGTAAATATTCTAAAATTTTGATCGAACTAAATATAAAATATTTGTGGTTATCCCCTATGCTTTCTTTAACAAAAACCCAAAACTTTAAAAACTCTAAGCCATCGTAATTAAAATGTTCCATGGATTCATATGTAAATTCAACCCAAGTTACGATATCGTCGCCATATAAGCTATAAGTGTAAGCAACTATACCAAAATAAGTTATAATATCTTTCCCGAAAATTTTTAGAGCTTTCTTTAAAAAACTTATAAATAAATCAAGTTGCTTATCATAATAAACGAATATTGCAGCCATAAAATTGGTCATATCATGAATATCTATATCCAATAATATGTGTTCTCCTGCATACTCCTTTAAAGAATACGATTTCATTTCAATAGTTTTTCTAAACAATGATTTGAGTAAGATGATTCTATATAACTTTGACTTATCGATCACTGAACACTGATTCATATCATTAAAGTTTTTTTCATTTATTTGTATGGATATTTTTTCGTTTAAAAAGTCAAGATTTATGATGAAAAAATAGAAATCAAAGAATATCCCATTGCGTCTTGCCCAAAAACATCTACCCCTACATGTATAAATGGAGATAGTATGAGTTGATGGTTGACAAGATAATATCACAAAGGAAAATATGCGAGAATATATTTGTAGAGGAATGACCATATTAAATTTTTGTTGTTCATAATCAATGTCTTTAGACTGCATGAAAATGTTAAAGATCTCATTTAAATTCTTGTAGTATTTAACTGGATTGTGGCCTGAAAGATTGTCAGATGATAATGATGAGTTAAAAAATTGTTCCATTTGTACCTTTATATAAACCTTTGTGTTAGCCATTTATGTTCGAATCTTTTACTAATCTTTTAGCTATATCATAAAATTATATAGATTACAATCAAATTAAAATTTAAAAAATATAGTGTGATAAAAAATAGTATATTACTTTGGAATTAACATCATTCTATGAAACAAAATTTTATATATTATATTGTTTTTTAATATGGCATAAATTTTTAAGGAAGCTTATAAACTATTGGTTTTTATTCATTCGAATATAGTTATTAAATAGCATTAAATTATATTTTAATCCCGATTACATATGGAAAAAGTGAAAGCACTGAAAATAAAATTTAAGGGGATTACGACATTCTTATTTAGTGAATATCGAATATCAATATAGATTTTTAATACATATACATTATGCTTCTATAATATATTTATTAAGTTTAATAAATTCTAGCTAACATCTACATAAATTTTATAATGTTGGTTAGTAAAATAGCTAAAATTTGTATAATGTACGGGCAAAACGAAGAATATATAGAAAAAAGAAATCTAAGTGACCGATATTTTTTTAACTATTGGAGTTACCCACGGTCTTATTTTTCTTAGATCATAAAAGTTTTCATTATAATTACTAGTAAAGTTCAGTTTAACCTGAGACCCGCGGCTCCGACAAGTCTAGATTCTTAGTTTTGACTTTAAACTTCTCTCAATTACTCTGTTTGACATTCTATGTAATTTTCGCTGTATTAAGTAAATATGACTTTGGAGTGAATTGAAAATGCCAAGCTTTAAAATTTATATAATCTCTCATACGATTTTTTAATTTATAATTTAAATCTTCTTTAAATAATCCAGACCAGGGCATGTATTAAAAAAATTCTTTTTTAGGCCCGGTCAGCATTTTAAAAATTTAATATTTTACGGCCTTGTACAAGCAACAAGCAATGATGTATATTATACCACTAGACTGTGGATTAAGTAGTGTCCATACATAGTAAACAGCTGTATTGTCATTTTGGTTTGCACTTAGACTAGTTTTCTACATTTATCATTATATAAAACTCATTAATGTAATTTAATTAACGTTCAACCACAAAATGTTGTGCATTTAATAAATTTGCCAATCTATTAGACCTGTATATATATCACTGGTTCCAGGGCGACTCTGCAGATTTTTTTTAGCAATTAAGAATTTGGTTTTTTTTTCAAATGTATAACATCATTTCCACTTCAAGTTTGTCTTAGAGCTACACAATACATTTAATATATTGTTTGCTTTTTTGGATTAACAAGAAAATATCA